AAAAAAAAAAAAAAAAAAAAAAAAAAAAAAAAAAAAAAAAAAAAAAAAAAAAAAAAAAAACTCTAGAATCTGATAATCGCCCGCCCTTAGTTGCAGTCTGAGTATCAAGCATAAAATACTCAATAGAAACTCCTATCGGAATCTCAACCGGCAAAATTGCAGTTTCTTCAGGTATAGCTCTACTGCATTTGTACCAGCAGAGATTTCGAGGGTGTATTATAAACCCCCGACTCTACAAATACCAAATCGGAGTGAAATGTATAAACGCACCATTTCAAAAAGGAATACATTATTAAGTCACTTGCAATTAGGCCGTGTGGAGACTGTTGCGTCTTACACGTTATGTATGATTTACTATTAAGCACCTTTTGATATGGCTTTGAGCGATTATTAAGAACAAAATCTAATTTTTTAGTGTTGTTAATGAGCCTGTAATATACTCAGATTGGTAAAAAGAATATAATTTATACCTTTGCTAGCGTTTGTTTGCTTTGTGAAATTCATTTTTTTATAAATTGCATGTTCATTTTGTTTAATATTGTTTTTCAGTCATGTGATGTAAACTTCTCTGAAGAGAAAAACCTTACTTACACCATAATTATCAAAAATAGATTACAAATAAAATAGCCAATTTAAATTTTTTCAACGTTTACAAATTTTCTGTACACAAAAACAGAAATGAAAATTTGTTCTTTTTCCTATAAAAACTTTCGTCCAAAATGATACGATGTAGTGCAGTATTAATCTTAAAACCTTAACATTGTTATAACATATTTTATCAAAATTATGCCTTTTCATAGGGCGGATCCAGGATTAATTGAAGTGGGGGTGCGCGGATGCGAAGCTGACCTTACCCCCCCCCCCCCTGGGCGTGGGGTTCGGGGCCTGCTGAAGGTCCCCGAAATTTCTTGGTAATTTAGAGGGCGAACGGTGGCATTTGGTACGGTTTAGAACTATGATTCAGCTAATCCAAATACTAATTGCAAGAGGGAGACCATTGGTGCGATTTTTTTCAGAAATTGAAGGGGGATCACTGCTGTGGATATCGTTTGGGGGATTTTCAAACCCATGGAGTGTACCTTTAAGGTTGTAATTTTTGTAGTTACTTTTAAAACAATAACTGATTATTTGTTATCATTTATTTAAAAATTAAAAAAAATCAAGTTTGATTTCATAGATATTAGTTCTCTCGTTAACAAATGTTTTTAACACATGCAAAATAATGAACGTTTTGATAACAGGGTTATATATATTGGTTAGACCATCAACAAGTGTTAAGAGAACGTTATTCTAACGTTCTACACTGCCACTGTCATCGTCATTGAGCCGAGAAACGTTGCCAACAAGTTCTATTAACGTATGTAAATTTTTGTTAATTTTGGCAAAAACACATGAACAAAGGATTTCATATTTTGCATCACTACACTTTGCACAACTTTAATCATCACATCTAGTATTCAAACGTTCTAACAATGTTATAAAAATAAAAAGATGTGTCGGTTATATTTACCTATATAGCATGCAGTAGTCGCGTCACACGCTGTCTTAACTGCACACCTAGCGGCTGTTTACAAATTGGGGTTGGGGTTAGTCGGCGACTAGAGCGATGAGGATTTTAGAACCCTCGGGCAGTCTGTGCCTACCTCAAATTACCAACATGATGAAAAGCTTAAAAAACCCTATAAAATGGACTTCAATTATGAAATAAAATTTATCAAAATTATTAAAAGGGTGTTTTCAAGTAATCCTGATAGTTGATTGGCGTTTGTGATGAATTAATGGATTGTTTTAACTTCATTTTAGAAAATTCAATCTTATAAATTGCGTACAAGGTCAGCTAACACAGGAGTAGTAAAAAGGTTAAGCAGAGAAGACTTGACTGAAGCAAGTAAGGTTGAATAGTACGCAACGGTCATCTGACTAGACAAGTTGGGGGTGTCCATTCTATTGGTTTACATTTTAAAAATATCCATTCAACCTGAGGGATGTCAGGAGGGGAGACTCCATTCCACATTAAGGGGTGTTATTTGGAGTGATTCCATTCCATAAGAGGGGTGACAGGTGGGCGAGTCCATTGCATTAGAGGGGTGACAGGTGGGGCGAGTCCATTGCATTGGAAGGGGTGACAGGTGGGGCGAGTCCATTGCATTAGAGAGGTGACAGCTGGGGCGAGTCAATTCCATAAGAGNCCATTGCATTGGAAGGGGTGACAGGTGGGGCGAGTCCATTGCATTGGAAGGGGTGATAGGTGGGGCGAGTCCATTACATAAAAGGGGGTGACAGGTGGGACGAGTCCATCACATACGAAGGGGTGACAGGTGGGGCGAGTCCATCGCATTAGAAGGGGTGACAGGTGGGACGAGTCCATTGCATTAAAGGGGGTGCCAGGTGGGGCGAGTCCATTGCATTAGAAGGGGTGACAGGTGGGGTGAGTCTTGAAATTATCCCAATTTGGTTCAGAGAACAGGAACTGAACAAATTGTTCTGTTTTACCCTCAGAAATCAAATTTCAGCCGTATCTATTAAAAAAACCAACTTGATTTAAGCTTACATCAGAATCATCCCACATTTTCATTATTACATTCGAATATCAAATTAAGTATTTATACTAAGAAAAGGCCGCTAAATTAAAACAATTCACGATAGCAAAAGCCAAAACCCATCAAAATGGTACCCTCCCTATATAAGAAAATATAGGAAAAATTTAATCCAAACGAATTAGTTCCACATGCTATAGAACAAAAATCTCATGTGAATTTTTTAAAAACCAGGATTGTAAATTTATATAAATTTGAAGTATAAAATGTAGGTTGTTGGAAACTATTTTAGATATTTTATGTCAGTGCGCTAAAACAGCTTGGAGGGGTTATTAATAAACACTGGTCATTTTACAACTATTTAAAATGTAGGTACCACAGAAAACCGTAAACCACAAAAACATTGACATTATCTACAGATCATATTAAATTTGAAGGTCCTCAAACGCTAAAAATAACTTATTTCCCATTATGGTTACTACTATCCTTATCATAATAATTACATAACAAAGTGACAAATAAAACGCCAAATTACAAAAGTTTTTTATTGAGTTTTCATATAATAGATGTTCGAAGGAGCGTGGGTTCCTGTGTGTAAAACAAAGGCTAGACTTCATAGGTTGCTTTCATGCGGATGCTGTGCAGAATCTCGTTGAGCTCCTGAAAATATAAAATAATGTTTACAACTTTGAACTAAACAGACAGGATCTCTACATTCTAATATTGCATGTAATATCTCAGGGCACAGGGCACATATAAATGATCACAAATGGAATGGCGTGCACGTTTATTAACTAGTCTGATGTTCAGGTTCAGCTAGCGCAAAACCAAAATTATGATCTGGAATAAGTTAATAGTATAACTAATTGAGGGCTCTCGTTAAAAAAAGTAACCTTGATAGCACAACCCTTTTCATTTGCAGGGTGGGTGAGGTTATTGTTACGACCGTTTATATATTCCTTTTGATATTAAAAGTTATAACACGTGTTGTAGTATATGTTGACGCATCTCAGAGAAAGAGATCATTTACAAATTCTCTTCGAAAATTATAACAAATATATTGCACATATATAATAAGTTTTCATACAGTGAACCGTGTAATGGATGGACAACACACGGCACAATGGAGACAACAGGCTGTGTAAAATATGTATCTGTCAATCATTGTGCAATGAGCACTCGAAATCCTTGGATCAGAAGCTCAGAACGGTGACAAGCATCATCCAATTAATTAGTTTGGCTGGTAATACTTACGTTTAAACACGCACGACATTTTAAATTAGGACAAAAAATTCAAAATTAATTGTCAAGGCCGGGGCACACAAAATGTTCAAAAAGAGGGTTACAAAGTGCAGAGGATTTCAAGCAAACTTGGGTTATCATCAAAAGTCAGATAAATGCGCCGTTTATCCTGAACATTTGGAGACCCAGTGCACTGTAAGCAATAATTTCTACCATTCCGAGTGACATACAAGTAAAAATGGAAATATAGTAAAAGGATTCATGTCATAAATATTTGTCGTAAGTATTTTTTTCATGAAGAAATAGTGATACTCACAAACATACATTTGCTTCCACGCCTTATAAAAGCTCGACCTTCTGGCTGCACCACACATACCGTTGCGTCTACACCCGACTCTGCCTAACTGCCAAGTGAGCATTCGGGAAGACAGCTCGCATTACGGTGAACGACTTGTTGTTATGCAAATAACAACAGGTATACCTCATTTTAGGTGAGAGGTTGTTACTGAGGCTGTTCACGAATGTTCAATCAGGGAATTATATCCGATATGTGGTGATACCTTCATATGCTTAAAGTCGTGCAAATATTCTATGTCACATATTCGATGTCACATACGTACTCTACAAGGCCAAAAGTGTCTAACTGGCCCTACAACACATGTAGCCCAGGTGTAACAGGAATGGGAGTCCACTAGGAATCGTAGTCCGCTTCACATTACTTTGTAACCCCAATACTCCAATTAACCCTAACCTGAACTAATGTATACGGGGGGGGGGGGGGGTCCACCTGTTTTCCCTATGTGAAAATTATTCTGAAAATCAGCATTGGGTGTCTTTCTTTACACACACACACACACACACACACACACACACACACACACACAAAATTGATAAGGTCTACTGCCATGCTACGATACATTTTCCTCAGTTAGGGGATTGGCCTGCTGACTTAAATTAAATTTTCAGCATCAAGCCCACGTTCGCCATTCATGGAATCAGAAGTTGTTTTTAACGCGAACAAAGATGCGAAACGTCAGTGATGTATAAATCATATCATTTTGAATTTCTCTCTCTCTCACACACACACACACACACACACACACACACACATATATATATATCCCTGACCCCCCTCTAAATCCGGCACAGTATATACACAAGGACTCATATTAAGGTGGAATCATTTTTAATAAATGAATTAAACATAATCATAGTGGCGCCCAATCTAATATCAAAAATTTACATTCCAAGTTAATCACGGGCTCATATCCAACCAAGCTAGCTTGTTACCAATTTGCATTACAATTTACAAGGTTCTGATCACGATTATCATGCCATCTTAAATACATTGCCTCACGTTCTGATAAGTTTTATTGAAATTTTGAAAACTAAAATTCAGCAACCCTTGCTGCATTTTATGCCATATACATGTATATGATTAAAAGCTCCCTAAAGGTGTATTGTTAAACACACAAAAAAGTTTGTAGTATTAAATTTGCGAACGATAGGCCCAAAACCTTTTTTGTTCATAAGCGGTCAAAATCTGAGTGCTGGCTCAAGGTTAGTCGAAGTCAATTATGAATGGTGTAGGCTTGCATTTTCTCTTAAGAACGCCAAATTCCCGAGAACGCACATCTTGTATACAAGTCCATTGTCAGGAAAGATGGCGACGGTCTGTCTCTGGGCTTCGATTCGACAATCTGCCAGATATGCTTGACACGCTTTGTTGATCTGGCCGAATTCCTCATACACAGAACCCAGAAGAAAAAAGCTGCTGTTTGGTGGAGACTCTGTGGTCTCACAGTAGGTGCTTAGCTTTCCGCATGCCTCTTCTGCTTCTTTGGTGTTCCCTAGGCGCCAATGTGCGATAGCAAGTTCGCAAAGTGCGAGACATTTCGCAGAGATCACTACGACTTCAGATGCCTCAAGAACTTTCGCGTGACCATCTGGCAGGGCAACGGAATCCGACTGATAAAAAAAGACACTTTCTGCCTCATCCAGCGATTTGTCCATCAACTCAAGGACCTTTTGCATCGTCTTCACAGCATCTTGGAAACGCCCCATCTTGAACAAAACGATCCCTAGGTAGAGAAGGGAGAGAAAACGATGAAAGTTATAGCCTTCGACATCTTCGGTTACCATAAGCTGGCACTGTTGTAACATGTTCTCAGCCATTTTGGCAGTCTTGGTCTTCTCATCTCTGTCGCCTGTATGTTCTGATTTACAAAAATAAAGCAAGCCCAATTTTCTCAAAACTGTGACGTTATCCATCTTTGTATCAAGAAACATTGTTCTCAAATTTTCCAGCGTGGATATCTTGTTGTTCAGTAATTCATTGGCTCCACCAACATAATCTGTGACAAATTTCTGGGCAATTTTGGCTGAATCTTCCCAAATTACAACCGGCCACATTGATTTGGTTTTGATTAGATCCACCGCCATGAATTCTCTGCCCTCCAAGAAAAAGGCAGTTGATAATCGGACCAAACAATCCAACAACGCAGATTCCAGTTCTTCATTTGTCATCGAGTCATGGTGAAGAATAGACTGGTAAATCCAATCGAACCCGAACGTCAAAGGGAGAGAATCTAGTCTATTCAAGGTGTAATATCTCCTGATGACTGGTAGAATCTGGCAGCGAATGTGAACAAGCTTTCTCAGTGCGTCCCTGACGAAGTCCCTGCCAACGTGGCTCAGCATATTGTTATCCGGAATGAAATAATTTGGCAAGTTGTGCTTAGACAGAAATGTGATCAATGTCTCAAGAAGGTGGACGAACGCTGCTAGCAATTCGTTGCAAGTATCTTTGCACAGATGGGGAGCTCTCTCGCAGGCCCAAAACAGCGTTGTTTTCAGATAATACGTTGATAAAAATTCAACGTCAGCTAGCTCGTGCTTGCAAAGGAGCTTAAACATCATGAAGCTCTTCCGAACGCATTTGGGGAGACTCTTTGCAAGAAGTTGCTCTGCCACAGTAAACGAAAGTCGCCACTCTACTTCCTTAAACGTACTCTGAGGATGGGCAACGGGGACTACAAAGCATTCTCTTTTGCAAATCTGCACAATGGTACCAACGCTTGGCCATCCATTACGCTTTCTAGTAATCCATTCAATGGCTTGTTTAGGCCAGTCAGGGCAACTTATGGCGGGGACTCGGTCCCAGCTGCTTTCGGTAAGGATCTGCCCTGTTGTACGCCTAGCCTCGGCTGTGGTAAAGGCAGGACCGTGCAGGATGCCTTCTTCATTGCGTTCCCCAATAGTGTCCACGATGTAATCTTTCACTATGCTGCCGGACTGCAAAAAGTACACTGGTTCGCCTTCGCTTGTGCGCACCTTTGCCAAACGTACGACGTCAGTATGCCTCATGACGCTTTTCAAGTTTGAATATCTTTCTTCATATTCCAGTCTCACATAACCGGGGAATGTTTCCGTGGTATTAAAAAAGAAAGTGCCGGACTGGTCTCGAGTGGGGTAATCAGTAACCGTGAAATTCCCTATGATGAACAAAGTATCTACATCAGAGGAGTCGATTTTAAAAGTGCCTGCTTTGTAAGCGTGGGGAAGGCTGAGACCCTCAGCCGTGCTACCACTGATCAGCGTGCGCTGTGTGTCTCCCAGATTTAGACGCTTTTCGAGTCTTTCTTGAACGTCAGACCCGAAAACGCCCTTTGCCTTGAAACGGCCAAAGTTTGCGTCGGTCATAAAACTGTTGAAAGCCTCGCATTTTGTCATGTTAGTTTCGAGAGTTTCCATCCATGTGTCGTTAATGGTATTGTCTATAAGAAATGTTATGATGCGCTTATTCACACCAGATAGGACATCAATTGATCCCTCACTCTGCATTTTCTGAATTGAAAAATAGAGGCATTAAGTACAAGTCTAATAGCAATTTCAACCATTCATTTTTTTATTCCATTGATTTATCAATTTTTTTATTATTCCTTTCAATCAACACGTTTGATCTGTTATAAACCTTACGTACATGTACAAGTGCAATCGCTCAGTAAGTATGCAGAACACAGCCTCTCAACCTTCACCACGAGGACGCATACATAAACATACACTTATGATCTAGCTCACACAGGGTACATACATAATCAGTCAAATTGAAAGTAATAATAATAATAATAATAATAATAATACTAGGTCTAATCTTCTCTCGGGAAAGTCCCTTTTTCTCTCAAACGAGGCTTTATGTTAGTCATCGTTAAGCTTTACTTATCATATGATAATAGCATGAAGTCTTTAGAAATCAATCAGCCGTACTTAATGTCTAAATCATGCCAGTTGTTTACCACTTAAATAAGACCCTGCGTGTGTAGTGCCAGATATTTTAAAGAGCATACAAATTTCAAAGTCATTGTCAAGTACAAGGAGTGACATATACCACGATATCCTCAAGGAACAAAAACATATGTTACTTATTACATATAGTTACACTTTTGCAACCGTCTATTCGAATTAATGCCCTTAGACCAGGAAACTCACCACTGCCGTTTATGGTAAAGCGTGTATTTTCCCCGGGGTACTTTTTGTTCTTACTGTCTTCACCGCTATGTGTACAGCTTTAACTCCAATAGAATTGGAAATCCCCTTTTCCAGACGGTCACGTGATGCAGAGCAAACATCTGCTGGTCGATTTCCTTAGCTGAGAAGCTTACAGTGCTCTGTAAGCAATGATATAAGAAATCAGTATATTGGACTAAAACAGATATTTTCTACTTATACGATGCTGAAAGAACACTGCAACGATAAACCTGGTGCTTAGGTAGGGGGTGCCTGGTATGTGTACAGGGGCGGATCCAGGATTATTTGAAGGGCGACCTTACCCCCCCCCCCCCCAACTTCACAGAAACCATGAAAGTGTTGTACATCTTTAAATGTTTTTTTTACATATGAGGCTGTGAGCTAACACCGAACATAGCCAAGACTGTCCGGCATAAGGTGATAATTAAATTCTCACACCGATTTATCGTCACGTTGTATAGCCTTGAGTAGGCTACCATAATTTGATTTTTTTTTTATGCAAGAAAAAATCGAATATTTATGGAGTGAGATACTTGGGACTTCACGAAGAAATCGCAACAATATTTCAAAAATGCCCTAGTGACAGAAAGTTAGGCTAACGACATGAGTGTCACCTCTATCTGAAGTGTCCAATAAGCTGAATCCGCGATGAATGCGACACAACGGACACCGAAGTGCAAAAATTGACTTGATTATATTTTTGATCGATTAGAACATGCTGTTACTATGATTAAGTTGTAACACAGCTGATGGAATTCTTGAAACATTGAAAGACTAATTAAATTGAAATTTTATAAATAACTTACTTGCCGATTTGATTTCATATGTTATTATGTGTAATCAAAGTAGGCCTAGCCTATTTGATTAAAGCAAAACTACTACAGTGTGATACAGAACCAAGGAGTCAGTCTTTCGGCCGGCCACCACTCGCCTTGTCAAATAAAGAAATTTTTGATATTCGACAACGGGCCAGTTCCCCAGGCAACTTTTGCGTTCAGTTAATGGGAAGATTGTTTACGATTGATGAACGAATACAAAAGGACAGAAATGTTGCGGGTGTAGATGGGAGAGATCCTATATGCAAATATAGACTGAATTAAATTAAAGATATGGCCTACAAAATGTTTATTACTCAAACAACTGACAAGTCTTTTTGGAAAAAAATGCATTTCATCCATGAACAAAGCTAATAGAAATATAAGGACATACTATAAAAATAAATTTCAATCTTGTTAATAATATGTATATAGCAAAGACGGTTTGAAGCCTAATAAATATTACATGTACTAGTACGAGTTGTGTTTTATTTGATGTTTTATAAATTCATAAATACATTTATTAGGCCTAAACTCTATGTGAATTCAATCAATTCATAGCTACAATGTACACGAAAGTTGCTTTCATCACCGAATCTTTTGGTAAAGTGACTTTTAAAAATCACTGTTGGCAAGTTCTTATACTTAAAATCTCCGTATCAGAGCAGAGTGATCAAAGTAGAGTGAAGCCACCGCGCATTAAAGGTCAATTAACGGTCAATTAACGAACACTTAATTGCGACCACGCTCAGCTTCGATCTTTATCTCAGCGAGCTAGGGTTAGGCTCTTTTGTTAGCAGAAAGTTTGTCACGATAATTACCCGACGGGCAGGGCATGGTACTATTGTTAACAAAAACCAAACAGCGTATGGATGACAATGTTATTTCCATAGTTACCGAGCCAGGCCGTCCGTACAACCCGCAGCGACCCGGAGGGTAAGTAAGGGGAATTTCCGGCGGCACTGTTTAACACATTTCTACAGAAAAAACCGAGACGTTACTTTCCAAACCATGAAAAACATTTCATTTTTAAAAAAGGAAGAGATTTTTTGTTTTCTCTCTCTCTCTCTCTCTTTTTTGTTTTTGTGTGTGAGGGTGGGGGTGGGAGGGGGTCAGGGCATTCGAGGGAATCTCCCTCTGCTGGCAATTGTCAATATTGACAGGTATGGAAAGAGAAGATCAAGAAGGTTTAAACGAAGCTGATTCAAAACCGAATTCGATTCTCATGGAGAAAATGGTTAAGGCAAGTGTGAGATTTACAAGTGTAGACTTGGTTTCAGGGTTTTGGTTGAAAATGCAGTGACCGAATTTTGACCAATCGGAGAAGAGGACACTTTATCAATCAGACGACAACGTATTGTCTGATGATAACGATGCTGCAACTTTGGACTCTATCTTGGAAGACATTGACATTCAGGTATTGAATTATTTAATAAAAATCAGTTATGGACTTTTGCCTTCGGTCAATGTACATGTATAGTTTTGCAGACCTCAGAAAAGTGATGATCTTGGCTTTTCTGAGGTTTTCAGAAGTAGAATATTTAATTTTTACTCATAGTACAATGTAACATGATTATCAAATTTTACTATACTTGGATCTAGTGATATCTTAGTATATCACTAAGGACAGTACGTTTCAATAATTAGGGAAATTAAGTTGGACATGGCATAAGTCTGAAACCAAACATTTCGGTCCACACATGATTTATTTTTACTTAATGTAGGCCTGCCTCCTCCTCCCCCCAATATATGTTTATAAAAGCGGGTAGAAATTCGAAACTAGTACTGTTTATGCGAAAACGAACAACTTCGCACCACCCCAAAGGTTTGCAGTCGTGCTATAGACGCAGTAGGCCTACATGTCATGCTGACAAGGCGGCGAAAATCTCACTGTGACAACGTGAAAGCTGTTTTAGCAAATAATATTGGTGATATTACTATTATTATTATTATTTGCTAAAACATCTTCCAAAGATATTTTACAATGACAATAAGTTTATTGAACACTAAGTGTCATCATTACATTACAATTATTTCAATGTCATTTACGGGATAATAATAATGTACCAGTTTACAAATGTTCAAAACGTACGTTAACGCCATTGCATGTAGATGAGAAAGCAGACCGCAATATGCAGTCACACCTAACACACTGCGTTGTGCCGCATGTCAAAGACTTCTGTACGTCCTTCTGCAGGAAAATGTGTTTGCCCAGGAGACAGTAGAAGACTTTGATTTATTGTGGTTGTAGGTTTTGCAAGCTAATGATATTGTTGGCATTTGAAATGTACTTTTACCTCAGACCAGCTTGTTTTATCCTTTCACGGTAATAGCGCAAATTAATGATGGGAAATATTACTAAACGGCCTAAATGTAAATGCCCATAACAAATTAAATTAGTACTAGTGTTGTAAAGGTTAAACATTTCGAGCTTTTATTTATTTATTTTTCGTTTTTCCGCTCATTGGATTGTTAAAAATCCCATGTAAACCTGTGAATGGAAAATCATGAGTGGTAAAATGCAACTGTACACCTTCGTTTACTTGATCTATATCAAATATAGAATGTATTGTCATGAGGTTTAGTGGCATACATACTGGGACCGGTATGGTAAAGAAAGCTTTGATATGTCTTAATATTGTCTCGAATACAGTGTCTTGTTACAGGGTTTGTATGTAACCTCTCATTACTTGTCACATTATATTCCATCTCTGCCTATTCAAGCATTGTGGCTTATGTCATAATAAGAATGATGATAGCCAAGGGTGATAAGGTGAAAAGAGGGTCTTACCATACAACATTGCTTTGCATATAGTACATGTACTAGTAGTTATCTGGGCTTTAACCTGCAGGTTTAACAGACTTCAGCAGTGCTTTAATTGTGTCCGTAGGAATATTTGTTAGGATTCCTCTGAGGTTTGCAGATGTACTAGTAGTACTTTTAAGATTTTTTTTCTTGTTTTGGGAGGTACATGCACAGTGACCCTTTAATTAGTCCTTATAAATATAAAAAAAATTAAGTATATTTTGCATGTGAGTATTATCAACTTTGTAAGACAGGTGTAAAGACAAATTGCCTTAACAGACACAACTCATTAAGTTTACTATAATAGTCAGAAGTATTTCAATCAGACGAAGTTAAGTTTTTGATAAGTGGGTTCTCTTACTTACTGGTACACATGATTGAGTAGCAAGCACTAATATAGTTACACTAATTTGATTCCTTTAGATGAGATTTATTATGCTGAACCTGTAATTCATTATCAGTGAGAGCAGTATTATGTCTGTGTGAAGGTTAGAGAAATTTCAGAACCACATAGAACAACAAACTTGCAATTCATCTTCAAATAATCATTTATATATTTTTGTCTTTTTTATTGGCAGCAGGTCAGGAAGAGGTGAAAAAAATTAGTCAACATTTGATGTATGTTCTTGAGCTCAGTCAATATTCGGGAAAGGGACTAATTGTGTTATGCATAGCCAGACACAGCCAGGCAGGTGAGTGTGCTCTCTTAACAGTAACTGTTGTTTTATTTGATAGGATCACAATGTGGGCATGGATTAATTGGATTTAAATTATATGCTGTGTCATGCAATACTTACTGTATATGGTATTTAAACAAGTAGTCTAGCTAGAAGTGATGTAAGCAAGCATTTGAAAGAAAAAAAAGGGGTAAAATTTTACATTCAAAACATAATATCAGTAAAATTTTGTCTTCTTCCATGCTCTTGATTTTTGTTGTCTTCATGTGAATGCTACCCTGAGTGTCAGAGCAACGTAAAAATTAGCTTGTAAATATTAAATATACCTTGGAGTCATTTTTACTAGCTCTGAGGAACAGCGGCCATGTTAGGCTTCCATCAATCAAATAGAACTGCTCCGCAGTGAATCTGCAGTTGAATGTCTTCAGACCAAAATGAAATGTTAAACAAATTTAATTCTGCTTTATTTAATTTTATTTGCTGTATTTAAGATGTTAAGTGAAAAAATAAATAATATTCTTTGAAAAGAAAAGATATATCCAATGTTTTTGTATTTTTTGCTTATCAGAGAACATTTAGTCCTGAGATATACACGTGCACAATACACATGCTTGCCGTGTGCCAAATTTGACAGCTACACTGTATGCCCGATACCACTATAAGGGCTGCGCAATGGCTACACGAAAATCAGTTTTTACAGCAGAATGTTGCTTGTATTGTGGCACTGACCTTCGACTGCAAGATATTTTCAATTCA